TTACCGTTTTTGGGATCTTCCAATCTATAATAGTTTGAACTTTCTTAGGATCCATCATAAGTCCATCATTTGAAATGATGTAACCTAAGAAATCGACTTGAGTAGTGTGGAATACACACTTTTCTATCTTGGCATAGAGTCCTGCATCTCTTAATTTTTGTAATACATGACAAACATGAAGTTCATATTCTTCTAGATTCTTAGAATAGATCAAGATGTCGTCTAGATAACAAACCACAAAATCGTCCAAAAACTCTCGAAAAATATCATTTATTAGATATTGAAAAGCTGCAGATATATTTACAAGTCCAAAAGGCATGACGTTGTATTCAAAATATCCATACCTAGTTTGAAATGCAGTCTTCCATTCATCTCCTACTTTGATGTGTACTAGATTGTATGCTCCTTGGAGATCTATTTTTATATAGATCTTAGCTTGATTCAGTTAATCAAGAAGTTCAGATATTAAAGGTAGTGGATACTTGTTCTTGATGGTAATCTTGTCAAGTCCTCGATAATCAACACACATCCGCAATGATTCATCTTTTTTCTTCACAAATAGAATTGGAGCTCTTGTCAGAGATTTAGAATGGCATATGAAATTCTTGGCTAGATTTTTTTCAATATACTCCTTGAGTTCAGCCAACTCATTTTGTGATAAATTGTAGATTGGTATGAATGGCGGTTGTGCTCTTTCTTGAAGGTTAATTGAGCAATCATAGGGATGATGTTCCGGGAGTGTATCGACATTCTTTTTTTCGAATACATCTTGAAACTCTTGATATTGGCTTGGAATGCTACTTGAAGTCTTTCCACCAGTAGAAACAAGTGTAGCATAAATAATATATGGTGATTCTTTCATAGCAGCATGCAAGAAAGCTTTTACACCTATAAATACGGGTTTAATTGAACTGGACTTATGACTCTCTATTTGATTAACTACACTGTTAGTTATACTTTTAGAGAAAGTAAGAGTTCGGAAAATCCAATCTATTTGAGGGTGGTATTTTTCTAACCACGATAAACCTAAAATAACTGGATTAGAGAGAGATCTAATGATATTAAATACTACAAAGCTATTATGACCATTGATTATCATTTTTATAGGAAGGGTTTCATCAGTAATATCTCTAGAAGACAATGGATGACCATCTATGACTTCTACATGAATAGGTTTAGTTTTCTTCACTAAAAATATGTTATGTCTTTTAATAAATTCTTCATCTAAGAAACACATTGAGGCTCCTAAATCTAACAAGGCATAGGCTTTGTAATGTTTAGGTCCTAAAATAACATTTAATATAAAACAAGGAGAGGGCTCTAAAGAGAGAATATGACCTTTACTAGATGTTGTGCAAGGTTCCAGCCACACGGTCCCTATTGTAGCTGGACAAACTCGTTTTTTGACATATTATCTTCTTTCACAGCCATACTCCTCATTTTGTGGTTATGTCGTGTCTTTGAACAATGTTGAGCAGAGTGTTTTGGTTCTCCACAATATAAACATAATCCTTCTTGACGACAACAAGTCTTTTCTTGCTCAGTAAGAGGTTTGAAATGTACTACATCAATTTGTATATCGTCTACTTCCGAATGTATGTGTTGAAGAGGTATTGGTATTGCCATTGAATTATAATAACGTTGTGGTCCACTTGTACGGTTCTCAGATCGAAATGCAAAAAGGTGATTGTCGCACTTCACAGCAAAGTCAATTGCTTGACTCAATGTTTGAGAATCAGGTAAGTTGAGCATTAATTTTTTTACCTCATATTGTAATCCATAGAGAAATTGGCTAATAAGTGCAGCATCATCCCACGTGATATCAGTTGCAAGTTATCAAAATTATGAAGCATACAACGTTATTGATCAATTGCATTGTCATAAAATATGAATCTTATTGATTGCAACACGAATTACATCATGTTCTCCATACATGGATCGAAACTCTGCTAAAAAAGACTCTAGATTATCCAATATTAGATCTTATCATTCAAGAAAAGATGAAAACCATGATGGTGCTCAACTTGAAAGAAGCATACCAATGAATCTAACTTGCGATCCTGTAGTTGGATAGCTTTGGGATTGAAGTTCAATCACAAGTTGCACTTGATTGATAAATCCTCAAAACTTGGATCTGGTGCCATCAAACTTCTCGGGTAGGGCAATTCTTGTTTTCTAACACTGCAAGGATGTTCTACCATAGGAGAAAAGACATGGTTTGGTGCAGATGTTGAAGCAGCTCCAACCATTTCTATATCTTCACTTCCTGCCAATCTTATTGTTCCTTATGGTGGTGAAATTGAGTTAATGTATCACAAGCATTAACTCCCTCAATTGTTCTTACATTTGTGCCATTGCACTCTTCATTTCAACAAGTTTTGCCATGATAACACTTAGAAAAGAGAAGATGTCTAATATCGCTCAACACAAATAGAAGAGAGGACTTGAGAACAAAGAAAATACTAAGGACAATATCAGTTTAGAAGAAGATAATTCGTAACTTCTAATATACTTATATCTTATCAAGAAAAAGAGGTAATCCACTTTTAATCAAGATTAGACAAAGCTCTGATATTATAGGTGTACTCTTGTCAATCTATCAAGGACAAGAACTCGATGAAAAAGCAATTCAAATAAGTGAGCCTTCACTCAAAAAAAGGTATCAAAATATAAATAAACAAGTATGTATATTGAAAGAGAAACTAGAATGGCTATTGCCAAAAGATAAGAAAACTAGAGACCCTTGAAACTAGACTTGAAGCAAGAAAGGAGTTGACAAGAATGAAGAAGGCTTCACTCTTGTCTCTATATATACTATCTAATTAAGAGCTACATGGCGACATTCTATAGGACCTCCAATATGTGTTGACTTTGTAAGATATATGCCTTGACTTACAAGGCAAGTTTTTCTACTTGTGGGCCACATAGTTAGCTTGGTCTTCAAGCTAACAATATGTGTGGCACATGGCCAACTTGTTGACTACGTTTCTAATCCAAAAAGTCAATTAAAGAAACCTATGAAGTCAAAGCAACGTCTATGAAGCTTCTAGGAAGCTTCTATATCAAATACTATAGAATTAACTTGTTTTTACCTACTTTTACTTACTTCTACCTATTTGTATATGTAATTATTAGCTTACATGAGTATGTCCGTGACATAAAATTTTAAAAATTAAAAATTAAAAATAATAATAAATAAAATAAATAAATAAACAAAATAATAATAATAATAATAAGCCAGACGCCTGGTCGCCATATTATATGTACCAAAAGTTGTGACTTATAGAACTCGTAACTAAGACACATGAAGTACTCTTCCCTTGGCTTTTGGCATATTTGGTTTACAACAAATGATGTCCTTCATGTTTTTATAACACATCAGTAAGAGTTGCACCTACATCATTGTTGCGATTCTTTGGTATGAGTTGAAAATATATATCAGAGTATTCTTCCCCAGGTACCAAGCAATCACGTCAACATGATTCAAGTAAAAAGGTTTTCTGGGCAAGAGCTTCTCATCCCAGATTAGCCCCAAGCCCTCGGTTCAGCAGATCTGGTATCTTCCTCGTCGTATTCATAGCTTAAATGAAGGGAATAAGAATTTAGCATCGGAAATATTCCATTTGTTCGGAACTTGAGGGACAATCAGATCGCTAGGGGAATAAATAGCAGGACTTGCAAGTGTTGTTCGTCAGTTCCTCAGAATAGACGCGGTAGCTGCTGAACTCACAGGGGCCACTTGTCTTGGATTCGACTGGCTTGCAAATGATTCGACGGAAGAGAGAAAATAATTCCCAGACAGCGCGGAGCAGATTGCCTCCTGGTGGTTGCATCGTCGCCGTTCAATAAACGATCGAGATGACTCAACACACTATGATATTTTGGAGCGGATTCCTAGCGACAACTTGGCCAGCAATGGCTCCCACCTCAATGGCTGAGAGGGGTTCAAACATCCTTCAAATGCTCCTGACGTCCAATGCAGGTAGGTTGCAGGTGAGTTTGCTATATGGGTAGCAGAAAAATTAGTCTCATCTCATCCCCTTGCATGTAGAGAGACAATGAAGCCTGCGTCAATTCCAGAGAAAGTAATCCCACAGATCCGGGAGGGCTCGCAGGATTACGCAAGGATTGCATGGAAGTGATCGCAAGAGCTGGTCCATCACAATGAATCTTCTGCAGCAGATTGATGCAGAATAGGCGAGGCATAAATTGATATGCTCCAGAATCTACACGCAGATTCAATGGGGACTGTGACCACCTCCGGCGGTGCAAGTCATCGGGATCCATGCAAGAATTAGTCTGCAGAATGAGACTCAAACCCTTTTGTAGTTAGTGGCCCCAGGGGGGGGGGGGAGGGGGGGAGGAAGTACTCCTGGCCCAGGACCCATGCAATTGCGTTATTCCTTTATGCGATAAAATCTCCTTTCGATGTGCCAAAAATGAAAAAAAAAAAAAAAAAAAAAAAAAAAAAAGGATTGCGTCAATTGCATGGCTGATCTTCCTGCTCGAAGTGAGCACAATGTTTCTCCAGATGCAGCTTGTGGTGTTCTCCAGGCGAGGAGATTGAGGAATTATCAGTTCACGATGCTCAGAAGTTACTACCTGTGGAATTATCTGATACCTTTCGGTGCAAAGTGTACTGAATCGGAATGACCTAATGCTGTTCATATCCGTTACGTTGGAGTTCGCTTCTATGATTAACATATAATATAGGTCCCCGAAACCCTGTGCTGTATAAAACGCAGATGATTCTTCTGCCTCACCAGTCTGTAGCCCGATGAGACGTCAGGACAGCTGGTGATGATCCTTCTCATCATCATCATCAACAGTTTCAAAACTGTGATGGAAACACTTTCAAAGCTGGGTTGACATGGACATCCACTGTACGCAGTTATCTCATTTAACTTTCAGTGTTTTGACCTTAAAGATTTTCTTGGATCTGCATATTAGTGTTGCTTTTATTGCACTTTCCTGCATTGTCACATTCCGCAACTGTTGCAAAATGGAGTGAAAGCCTTGCATATTCTGGGAAAAACCATAGTTTGTGCATGCTGTTGCACTGCTCACATCTTTTTTACCCCTTGAGCAATACAAGGCAACTTGCCCATGACTATGTGCCGCAAAAAGCTTTATTCCACCACGGCTTTCGTTCACCGTGATAGATTACATGTACAGTTTGAAAATGAAGTGGGAAAAGCACTGAAGGGCCCTCGTTAACTTGTACTACCATGTTGATCACTTTCCCAAGGCACCTTCACCCTTTTTCTGCGCTAATCATGTGATCGTCTTTCCCGTGCTTTCAGATCTTTTCTTCCAGGCTCCCTCCTTCCACAATGTCTGCACCGCCACCGGCCCACCACCCAGGTTACCCTGCAATGTACACATGGGACCAGTGCCATCTCTCAGGTCTCAGCTTTGTCAACATGCCGGCTCTCGGTACACAAGACTTGTGCGACTCGATATTCTCTTCCGCACTGCCGCCTGAGAAAAGATTAAGTGTGGCCAAGCAGGGACTTCATCGCAACTGGTGCCATCAGTGTCTGGGGGAGAGAGGCCAGGTAGAAGTAGTCTCCAAGTGGGATGTCCAAATCACAGACCCAACTTCAAAGAAAACCTGCAGAAAAAAGATCAAAAACGTTTCAAGTTAAACTTTATGAATACTTTACTATCAAGTACAATACCCGAGATAGGACCAGCTAATCACATGAAAAAAGAAAATGTAAAAGCGCAGAAGTCCGCACCGGATTCATCTCCAACGTCTCCCCGGACACTGGGAGCAACAGTGAGAACTCTAGACAAGTCATAACACTCTTCCCGGCATCGGGTGAAGCTTGCACACTACCTCACGCTAGCTCACCTGCCATGGGGGCAAAATAACAAAAAAGACAAACAAAAAAACAACAACAATCCAGAGTTTGTGTGGCCGCATTGCAACTAAAAGCCGGCTTGGAAACTTCGGGATACGGACTCCGACAAACAAATTTCTCCACCGAGGTAGAATTTCTTCAAACCTGTTAGCTGTAAGCTGCCGTGTTGCGTGTGCGGTGAGGTTCCACGTCCGGACTTGGATTGTGTTGAAACGTTCTGGTATAGTATGCCAGCATTGTGCCATGCATAGCTTGCTTTTTGCGCAATTCTTCCGCGTCAAAGACCGGTCCATGCACGGACCAGAGGGTGGCGGGCCGGTAAGGGCGATCTAGACAGCCTTTGATGACTTTCATTTTTCTTCAACACACACACGAAGTAGCATGAGAAACATCAGCACCACTTCCACCACCACCACCATTACCACCAGACGAAGAAGAAGATTGCGACACATGGTCGGGGGAGGTCCGGGCCGTGTCCGCAGCCCTTTCCTGGGCGTGGATTTCGTTGTCCTTAACATGGTTATGAAGCTGATTGTGCAGCTACCCAAGTGCTCCAAACTCCTTGACAACGACCTGCAACTTTCCAAAGCTCACATGCAAGTGTCGTTTGTGCTCACCGCAGGCACAACACAACACACACACACATACACAAAGGGCATGCAGCACCGACACTGTTCTACAACATTCACCCCTCCATCCTTCCCCTCCCTCCCAATGCCTGCAAAGAGCCTTTTCATTCATTGTGTGTGTGTGTGTTGCAAGGTCCCCATGATGTGCATTCCTTCTGTTTCCATTTCCTTGTTTCTGTATTTCTCTTTGACCAGATTGTTTTTTGTTGCAGTATTTGTCGAAGATGAGCTGATTTTCTTATGCAGTTCTTTTGTTCTCTTAGTGCAATGACAATGTACTGGAGCTTCCAAAATTGCTTGGCAAAGTTCAATGCTGAAATTCCTTGTAATGGTAAAAAAGAACCAAATTGATTCAAAAAATATTGGTTTTTTTCCAACTATTGGATTGCAATTAATGAAGTAAACAAATAAATAAATGAAGGATTTTGTGATTGAGTTTAGAGTGTCCTTGAATGTTGTTTTACATTGCCAAAAGCTTGTCCTTCATACCTATTCACTACTAGTCAATGTGTTAAATTTTATTCTAATATATATATATATATATAACCTTGTATTCCTTCTTGTCCTAATAACAGACTTGTTTATTGTAAAAAAATATGTGTGTATATATTTTCTTTTTCTTTTTCTTTCTTTGGGGTATTAGCAAAGACATAAATTTTAAAAAACTAAAAGATCAATAAATTCTTGTATCACTGAAAAAGATCAAAAATCAGTCAAAGAGAATATAATAATAAACTAGGATGGCTATCGCCAAAGATAAGAAGATTAAAAAGTCTTGAAACAAGACTAAAGACTAGAAAGGTATTGATAAGAGTGAAGAAGGCTTTATTCTTGCCTCCATATATATTATTTAACTAAAAGTTACATAGCGATGTCCTATAGAACCTCAAAGACATGTCCAATTTGCAAAATATGTGTCTTAACTTGCAAAGCAAGTTTTTTATATAAATGCCACATAACTAATTTATACTACAAGCTATCCATATGTAAAATACATGACTAATTTATTACCTAAGTTTTCAAACTATCAATTAACTATAAACATGTGCAAGGTCAAATATGCATCTATGAAGCTTCTAAAAAGCTTTGCTAAAAGATAATATGAAATCTACCTATATTTATCTTCTACATAACACTTTTTATAAAAATAAATAAGTATATTTGTCACATTATTCTTCCTTTTAGAGAAAAATTCTATGAAGTATATTTATCATATCATAAAAAAGTTCAAGATATAGCAAATTATATTTGATTCATATTCTAATCTTTGTTTTTTTTCAAAGGTCGTTGATAGGTCCTCTTAACTATTGATAATGTTTCATATTAAGATGAGAAGACCACCTTGTTATCTGATTATTGTTGAGGCTTTTGTAAATCCTTTCAACTAAAACATTTGGAACAACATTAGAAGTTTTTTCTACCTCTAATAAAATCACCAAATATTGGAAGTATTTTCTAAGGTCGTGATATTAAATAAATTGTAGCTTACCATCTATTCAAAGTATAGCATATTGTTTTTAAGGATCTTCATCTCTACTATATGATGTACTATGACAATTACAATAATTTGTCCAATAAGTTGATCTTCAAGGCTATGACAATTACAATAATTTGTCCAATAAGTTAATAAATGATAGTTTTTAAATTAAATCTCATGGTTGTTGGTTTTCTATCTTTTTTGTGCCACTAATACATAGAAATTATAAATAAAAATAAAAGATAGAATACTATCTTTTTTTATCTTATTTCTTATATAGTAAAGATTTATTATTCTTTGTCTTGATGTAGATGGATGTTATTAATAAAAATCACCAATCTTCCTTGTTATATTTATAAGATTCTTCATTAGCTCTATATGCATTTACTATAATCATATTTGTACAAATAAACAAGATATTTTAACCTATTTTGGCATTGTTTTTAATCTAAGACTTCTTCCACCTCAAATTCTTGATTATTATTTATTTCTATAAGAAGAAGTGGCATTTTTCTTCTTGTCAAGATATTTACTATGTGATATGCTTCATAAAAAGATATGTAGAATATAAGATGGATTTTCATAGACTTTAATTAATATAATTCATGAGTGATTGAATTGATTTTTTTATAAATAAAAAATGGTCTAAGCCTATAGTAATCCAATTTGTCACAATAGCAACTAATCATAATATTGAAATATAGTAATCATAATTTATTATCAATATGAGATTGAGATTACTCCTTACAATAGGCATCTACATTGGCTTTTTGTCGTTCTTAAGCTTCTTTTAATAACTTTCATTATTATATGTAATTCAAATGAATGATTGGCCAAATCTTTTGCCATAGGATTATCAACTTTTATAAAGTCAAAAGCATGAAATTATAGATAATAATCAAAATTAGCAAAGAAAGATGTTTGTTACCTAAAAAAATGTACCATATTATTATAAGCAAACTTTGCCAATGGCAAAAGAATTGTCTAATCATTTTATTGACAGTTGATTATATACCTCAAATACTGCTCCAAAATTTAATTTATTTGCTCCATTTTTTCATCAATTTAAAGATAAAAAGTAAAAAGTAAGATTATGTATATCTTTAAAATCTCAAAAAAAAAAATCTTAAATCTTAATATAAAGTGAATCTCTTTATATGATATAATATCCTTATACAATCCATAATACCAATAAATATTGTCAAAGATAAACTTAGCTATTTTTTTACTTATAATAAATTTAATATATAATATAAAATATACCATCATTATAAAATATTCTATTATTGTGAATATAAAATCATAAAAATTTGAGTTTAGAAGATATGTAATAAAATCTATAGAAATACAAGACCATATTTGTTCTAGAATAGATAATGGTTGAAAAAGTCCATAAGATTAATGGCAAAGAGTTTTTGATCTTAAAAGAATATTTTGTGATTATACAAATCCTTTAATTGCCCTCTTCTTTTGAAGCCACCAAAAATCTTTAGATATTAGCTCTGAAGTCTTATTGTATTTAAAATGTTCAATTGCTGAAAAAATAAAATAAGTTTGGAAAACACATAATTATACTTTGCTTTCTAAAATATATAATTATTCCTTGAAATAGAATAGATTATTTTTATATTCAAACTTAAAAGTATCACGAGACTTAAAAAAATTATTCTCAATATTATGAACAAGAGAATTAGAAAACATAATTGATTGAACTTACTTAAAAAAAATATTGAATCAACAATCAATGTTGATTTCAATGCTTCAGGATGAAAATGCCTAAATTTAAGAGAATAATTTTTTATTAATCAAAATTTGTATCTCTTTCTTTTGAAATAAGATAAAAATATTTTAAAAAGATATTTGACAAATCTTATTATTTTTTAAGTCAATAAGTGAATTTAAAATAAAATCTTTATAAAAAAATGCTCCAATAAGCTAAACAATAATTCAAAACATGTGTTGATATGAAATACTCAAGGTTCTTAAGATTTGTACACATGATAACTAGGCTAAAAGCGTTTTTTAAATAATGATGCCATTCTTGAAATGAATCCGTAATTACAAAAAAAAAAAAAAAAAAAAAAAAAAAAAAAAATTGGATCTCATAATTAATCTCAAGTGCTAAAAAAAATTTAGAATAAAAATCTACAATGTAGAGCTTGTCATTGCTTTCATTTGTAACAACATGATATCCATAGCAAAGTTTGATGCATTTGTTTTCATAAAAAATGTCTTAGAAAAGTGAATGCAACACAAAATTAGTAAAAAAATAAATATTATTGGTAAGACTTTAAAAGATATTTTGGCTTCTTTGCTCCACTTAAGCTTGTCTTTATATATTTAAAAAGAGCTGCAATTTTAAAAAAAAAAAAAAAAAAAAAAAAAAAAAAATGATGAAAATTTGGTAATAATTAGAAAATCTCAAAAAATATTGTATATTTTTTACTATTTTTGAAATCTTTTAATCTAAGATAGTTTGAACTTTCTTTAAATCTATCATAAAGCTATTATTTGAAATGATATATCTTAGGAAATCAACTTGAGTAATATAAAATATACACTCTTTCATCTTAGCATGTAATCTAGCATCTTTTAATTTTTGTAATATATGTCAAACATGAAGCTCATGCTCTTTTGTGTTCTTAGAATGTATTAAAATATTGTCTAGATAAAAAATGATAAAATCATAAAAAAAAACTCACAAAAGACATTATTCATTAAATGTTGAAAAATAATGATTCATTTGTGAGTCTAAAAGGTATGAAATTATATTTAAAATATCTATATTTGATTTAAAATTTAATTTTTATTCATTTCTTTTTTAAAATATATATATTAAATTATTTTTATTTAAATATTTGCTTGATATAATTGATCAAAAATTCCTAAAATTAAAGGTAGAAGAAACCTATTTTTTATGATAATCTTATTAAATCCTTATTAGTTACACACATCATATGAAGGTAAATTTTACTCATCAATCCAAATTATAAGATGGCCTCAATTAAAAGTTGTTTATAATTGGTGGTATGAAGTAAAGAAAGAAAATAGCAATACCAAAAGAAGACCAAACATAAATTAAATGAAATAAACAAAATAAAATAATTACACGA